TTCTATTTGTGTTTTGATCATTCTTTGTAAAAGTGTGATTCTATATTCTTGGTTTTTGTCATGAACTCATGCCACTAAAAGTTTATGGGAAAATTATACGCTCGTTTGTGTGAAATGTTGTGTGATTTTATTGTGTCAAGGGTTCAAAACATTTCTCGCACCTTGAAGATCCTGCTCCCTAGATTTTTAAGCTAGCTTCACGAGCAAAATCTGATAACCCGCTTACGGTTCATGCGTGCTGCTGTGAAGGTGGTAAGTTTGGTGACATCATGTTATAGTGACATCACTATGGGAAGTTCAAGCTTCCGATTGAACCAAACAGTTAACAGCTGATTTACGGCAAGAGCACGGTTAAATAAATCTTATTATAATTAAGGAGAAAAAATATACGATACATAAAATCTAGATGCAGGAAAGGGAACCAACAAAACTCACCGGAACATTTTCGGGTGAATTCAATTGGAACCAGTGTTGCCAGACGAACGATAATTATCGCACATGTACGATTATTAATTATGATGTACGATGTACCATTATAGAACAGATATAAGTACAATAATGTGACTAATTGAAGCCGCTGATCAGAGGATTCTTGAAACTATCGCTCTCGTGCATTATGCGATTATCGCGCATATATTATATATATATATATATATATATATATATATATATATATATATATATATACACACATATATATACATACACACACATATACATATATACACACACACGTGGTATATGTAAGTACAAGTAATTCTTTAAATTAAAATTAAAACACCTACAGCCACAATACTACGAACTCCGTTCTTGAACTCTTCAAAACGGGGTTGTAATTTTTTCTATCTCAAATTCCTTGTTTCTTTTTCATATATAGCAGTCAATACTACATGTCAATTAAACAAGAGACAGTACCAGAATTGGTTATTTTAAAATAGTTAATGTGTGCTCCTTGAGGCTCACAAGAATCGTCAAGATTTATTTAACTTAAGATTGAAAATTTAAAATGAATATGATTAGATTGAGACGAATATCAAATTATCGTACATTAATAAAAATAGTGTAAAAATTAAATAATTTAAGTAATATGTTTGAAAAAAAAATTCATTAAAATGTACGATAATTTGATATTACTGCCGTATGATAGTTGCATCATAATAATAGATGGTGAAGTACGATATTCACTTTTCAACTATCTGGCAACACTGATTGGCACCCTTAGGGCAAAACGTAAGTTTTGGGGATATGGATATTTGTGAACTATCTCACGAAGATACAGACCCCTCCCCCTCCAGAATCACTATTTTCATTTATTTATTTATTTATTTATTTTAGCTTGACTTTAAAAAAATTTAGAGGATCTGCATAATTCTTAACGCTAAATTCATAATTCTTGAATGTGATGGAATATGATGAGATTTCAACATGTAATTATTTTTAATAAATTGAGTAAAATTACAATAAAATAATGGCTTTGGGAGGGGAAGGATCATGATCATAGTGCCCATCCCAGCATCCATCATTAGTTAGTAGAAAGAACAGCACTGAACACCAAACCAATTAATAGTGTTGAATACAATCTATAAGAACATTGGAAAACTATATTTGGAAAGCTACACTGAGCTAAATAAAACATGATATGATTCCTGGTATATGTAAGTACAAGTAATTCCTTAAATTTAAATTAAAACACATACAGCCATAATATTACAATCTCCATTCTTGTACTCTTCAAAAAGGGCTGTAATTTTTTCTCTCTCAAATTCTTTGTTTATTTTTCATATATAGCAGTCAATACTACATGTCAAATAGACAAGAGGCAGTACCAGCATTGGTTGTTTTAAAATGGTTAATGTGTGTTGCCTTGAGGCTCACAAGAATTGTCAAGAGTTATTTAACTTGAGATTGAAAATTTAAAGTGAATATGATTAGATTGAGATGAATATCATGTTAGGCATAACAGATATTACAAGAACATTATTTATACGTAAAAAACAACACAATTTGTACAATGTACAGTATTTTATCAATATTTACAATCAATAGGAACTTTTTAAAAAATTGGGAAATAACTAGCAATGAACTAACAAATTAAAACACTTGTAACATATACCATAATTTTACATTACATATGTGTTCTATGAGTAATCCACATGTAGTCTACATTATCCTTTTTTCATGTAGATTACACAGACATTCATGTAGAGTATTTAAAATTTCACATCACATATTTAAAAAAATGTTATTACGAATAGTAATTGTAGAAATATTTTTATATATGAAAATGTATTTCTGATACAGCACAGGTCAAACAAAGTATATGAAAAATAAAAATTAAATTTGATCAAAAAACTGTCACCCCATCAGTTTCTTTGTTTATGAACAGTTGCTAAGAGCACCAAGCCTCCGAGAAGACAAATTCTTCGCTCAGTTTCGTAGGACTGATAAATTCCCTTTATGGTACATACAAAATTGTCACCACCTTGTCACTGTTTTTGGTTGCAAGTACGCTCAGAAATGTTCCGCACAGTAAAGAAATCCAAGTTTTGACCATGTTAAGTAACAAATGACTTTTAATTAAATTTATTCAAATAATGATCACCCTGACTTGTCGAGGTGTAATTAGTAATACATTCAGATAGATATAAAATTATAATTAGTTCTTAACAGACATTAATATTTAGTTTGTTGTTAATGTTGATGGGTCTGTTCTTAAGAACTATTAAATATTTTTAAAACAAGTCACAAACTTACAGATTTTTTTTAAATGGTTTCGGAAGTTAACTGTTTTCTTCATTTGCAAAAATAATTTTGTTTCCTTTACGGCCTCAGCATTCAAACATTTTCATTAGACCATACCAAGCGTAAGTGGCCAGTAAAACCACATGCACAATATTTAATTTGTTTATTTATTTAATAATAATTATTATTAATATTATTGAAATTGGATAATTGTATGACCAAAAAAAAAACTGAACACAAGCATAATTTCCACATAATTAAAATGTTTAAATGTTAAAAATGATTTAACTGAATTGAACCCAAAATTCCATTCATTCAATTCTGACGTTTTCGCAATTCTCACCATTTCATGAAAAAAAATTTCTCGTCAATGATAAAATGAAAATCGAAATTTATATTGTATATTATTGTTCACAATATTAATAAATTAATTTTGTACATAAATTATATCATGTCAAAATAAAAATTTGTATAATTGTAGTGTTTTTAAAATATGTTAAACATAAAGATTGCATTAGCATTTAAAACCAGTGCAGCTGAATCTACATCATAATTTCTAAATCCACAATTGAAAAAATGTCCTTGAACTTTTACCAAGCCTGCTCTTCACAGAATACACAAAATTAAATATCAGACTCAATGGCATTGCTACCAGTTGATCCACAACAAATAACAAATACATATTTTTATCAGAATTCCACCAACCAAATTCATTAGAATAAAAGATAAATAATGAGTTACAGATGCAAAACATGGGGAGAGATCTTTATAAGCTGTTTATTTAAACATCTTTGTACTCTTAATCACTTTTGGCTCTCTACTAACAGAGAAACTAAAGTCACCTCTTTAATAAATGTTTGTTAAATTAAATGTCGCGTTTGTATTTTCAGTTGCTTTAACCATTAGTTGATGACTAATCAAAAGAATTGACTAATGGTTAAAGCTACTGAAACTCAAACACCAACATTTAATTTAACAACCATTTATTGAAGAGGTGCATAGTGCAAAGCCACTCTCCGTTGTCAAAAGTCACACCAAGTGACAGTACTGATATTTTCTAAAAATTTCTATATGAAGTAATTTAATATCCTTATGTTGAAGAATTTTGTGCATCAACAACAATATCCCGAATCTAGAATTTATTATGAAAATTACAAGATATCTGGGGGGAAAAAAGGAGAGTGATAACCCATACCCAACATAATTTAGCAATTTCTGAATATTCTAAGATATTAATTGAAGCAAAAGAAAACTTCAATTTTTGAAAATTCTACCTTCAACTACCATTCTAAGTATATAATTATAATACTAGAAACCGCCAATTCTCATTGTCTGGAATACAAGACGGTTGTACGATTATCGAATATTAATTTCATTCCAACTGAACATCAGCCGAACATTACAAGAATTGGCAGAAGATAAGCGAATGCACACATCTCGTGCAAACAGTACAAATTTAACTAAACAACCCGTTTAACTAAACCAACTGTTCTTCGCTATTAAATCTACCACCAATTTGTTCCGAAATTGCTCAGCTAGGCGTTTAGAATTGGCAAGAGCCCTGTGGAAAAGAGTGCGCATTTTTTACCTACCTTAGGTACCGACGAATCCATGAAGCATGTGATATCAATTATTTTTGTGAAAATTTTCTGATACCAGTGGACGTAGACAAAAAGTCCCCCGCTATTTATATCAGAGCTTATCTACCAATACATTCAGAACACACCTTCCACCATCTGAACAAACTACGCCGTACTCTCGAAATACCCGTTATTCCCCTTCTACCTTTTCATTGCACAATTTCATTTTGGCCTTCAATAAAGTACCAACTCATAACAGCAAAAGCTCAATCATAAAGAATCTAAATAAATACAGAAAGGATAAAAAGTACATTTCGTTCAATAAAAATATTTTTTATTTATTTATACGCTTTGTAATACTTTGTTAAAAAGATGTTATTTAATAAATTAATTTTTGCGTCATCGCTTTATTAATTGGTAAAACTGCAGGGAAGAACTGAGCGAGAGAGATATTCCGTCTTCCAATAAAGCAATGCAGTGCCATCTACTAGCAGCTACGTGAAACTGAGTTCGGAATAATCAAAAAATTACATTCGTACTTGGAAGGTCGTGGTATAGGTGGTATTAATAGCCAGCATTCGTGATGTTAAGGTCAAGATATTGTGAATATAGCGAAATTAATCAATATTACTCGCGCAACTTTCCTTGAACGATGGATTGAAGAAATGCGGGTATAGTGGGAGTATCAGTTACGAAATCGGCCAGTAGACTTTATGAAGAAATGCCAATCTCAGGAGAATCAGTCACGCATTTGTAACGTTCTCAATAATTTGCGTTCTAACTTTATCAGGAGTTCGAGGTACATCCTGTGATAGTACCTGCATAGCAGGTAGATCCATACCTGCTTCGAACATTTCTGTAGATTTTTGGAGAAAATAACCGATAGAAGTTCTAGTCTTCAAAAGAAAATTGTTTCTATTTCACGTCAGTGATGTGTTTGGAATGTTGTCATCAGTGCTCGCTGCGAGCTTTTGCCTTCGTCTGTTTATTGTGCCAGAAGGGGGAAGCAAGGTTATCGTTTACGTAAAGTTGCGCGAGTAATTTCTATTATTTTCTAACATGGAGTCTTTCCTGATTTCCGAACGCCGTGACGTTATTGTTTTAGTGTCGTCCACTGTGCGAGTGTTGGATGCATAAGCTATTCTCGAGCGAGTCATTTTTTGTATTGATGAACAAGAATAATGGCACATGTAAAATTAATATTTAACAGAAAGGTCTTTTATTGTGCGGTGCCACATATTTTGCAACCGTAGATGAAGGCGTGTACTCTATTATAACAGCTGTCTTGCAAATGATTATAATGATGTTCTTACTGGTAAAAGATAATATTTTCTTATCACGTTTCTTCACTTTATTCATGACTTGTCATGAGCGCTGTTGTCATGTCACTTTTCTTAAGCACTGATGTATGTAAAGGTTTCTTGATGGGTAATGCAACCTCTTTCAGTGATGTCAACACTTAAATATTTTCATATCATTTTTAAAAATCAACGCAGTAAGTTATGACAGAAACAAAAATTGTAGGACTTGTTAATGCACCTCCTTTTAGCTAATCAAAGTGATATTCTACATTAATAAGCTGCAATTACTCCACAATAGGCAACAACTTTGGTTCAATAAACCAAATTCAAATCTCTTTAGCCAATATTAACAGTGCTGGATTTTCTCATTTGAGGGTCCATAAACTTTCAATTCAAAAAAAAAGGAAAACATAAAAAAGAGTTTTTGAACTCTTACATTTAAAATTCTCTTCTAAGAATAATACTATCACATTGATGGAATTAGACATTAGGGAGTTCATTAAATAGAGCGATTTAAACCTTTCCCCAAAACTACAACTGAATACAAACCATTAAGTCGAAAAGCACTCAAAACAACAAGGCTAATTTTGAATATAAAATAATTTACAGTACTTGTTGGATGAATTTTTTGAAAAAAATTACTAATAAATATTTAATGTTTGTTCAATGGACATTTGTATGTGTTTGTATATCTATACTCACTTTCGATCCGGGTGACTAATAATAATAATAAAAATATCACCAACAATAACAAATATAAATAAGCATGCTCACATGATTGTTACTGCGATTCCCAAAACAGCCTTGCACAGTAGCAGTTTCAGAGAGGGGGATGACCCCCCCCCCCAAAGGCCTATTTTCATTTGTTACCTTTTTTTATTTGAATATTTATTTATTTTAGAATTGTCATTATTAAAAAAGAAATATGGTATAGTATCGTATATACACTACAAAAATAATATACAACAAATTATTTAATATTATTTCAATCATTATTTAATAAAAACCTATGATGGCCCCCTCCAAAATAATCGGCTGTGTCTACCGCTGGCCTCACACAAGTGCCACTTTAGCTTTTTGGGAACTATGACCCTGGTATCAACAACTTAACCTAAATTATGAAATTTTTTCGCCAATAAAACCGTTTTATGGTATTACCATTCTTTAGTTTCTTTGAGACCTCAATGAAGGAAAAAAGAAAGGCATGAAATTACACACAACTAATGAGATTTATATAGCTTTTAACAAATACAGGCAAAAAAGAAAAATATGAAATAACCCTGAAAAGGATATTAAAATGTAAAAGACACAACTGTCTTAAAACATGTATTTAACAAAACAAAACATACTTACAATTCAAAATCATTAGTTTCACAAATATAAACATACATCATTTGTGCTCTACGCAATTATGATTTAAAATAGTTCTTCCTACATGCCACAGGTCAATAATTTAAATATATTATTTCTGCAATACTCTTTTCAGACCAGCAGTTTGATCAAAGAGTCTACCATTTGTAAACTCTCCTCTCATATCCAAAACATAATGCAACCAATGACCTGTTATTTTCAAAGGCAACTGCACTCTAGCACTGTGTCTGCTGTGTTCACAGCTAACCTGAAAAAGAAAAAAAGAAGAAAAAGAAAGAAGAGTGAAGCTGTTAATTGTCTATGTGTATTAACAAATTGATACATTTATTCAATAATAATATCACGTAATAGATTTTAACTGATACAGGCAAAGTAATAAAAGAGGTACTAAAAAACGAATTTTATTTTTTTATTAAATTTGTTGACATGAACAGCTTTATTAATAACAAGCAATGAATTTCCTTGTTCTTTCACCCGTTTGGTATAAATTATCAAAATAATACTATGGATACAAATTGAGTTCCATGCACAGAAATTGACATGTGAAGGCCACAAATAATTCTTGATTGAAACATTCACACTTTTTTCTCCTTTACCCACATCATAAAAAGTCTTCATAGCCATTTACTTCAATCTTTTTCAGCAAATTTTCATAATTTTATATTCAATATTTTAATCTAATCAGTGAATATAAGATAAAATAATTTCTAAGTTTCCGATACTTTGAAATCCTTGCAAACCTGGTTTAAGCCAATGGTGATTGTTCGTTGTCCACCAAGAGGAGTGTATGTTACCAAGGAAATATTTTGCCCTCCTTTGTGCAGAACAAGATAACGCACTGCCCTAGCAACATAAGCACAGCACGTTGCAAGTATACCACAAGCTGGAAACATTAAATTGATGATTTTCCATTGGTCCACAAAATTTCGGTACATTATGAAACCAAGCAATTATAACTAATACTAAAAAATAAAACACACCTAAAACTCCACACATTAAAGACAATCCATATCTGTACTTAGGATCACCGAGATTAATTTTCCTCCACCACGAGAGAGAAGGATCAGGAGAAACCGGTACATTTCTCAACGACGTCAATGTAACATACGAAAGATAACCCCAAAAACTAAACTGACAAACCGAAAAAGCAGTAAGAACTCGAAAGAACCTGGGATTTTCGTATTTGAATAAAACAACATCCTTCACTACTTTTGTCCTAATATCATCTGATGCACTTTTGTTCGCGATATACTGCAAATCACGGAGAGCAGTTCGCGTACGGAATAAGGTACTTGCAAAATTACATCTTCCAAATACGTGTACTAAATTCATCATCGTAATAACAGAGAACACTTTAAATAGTCCACTACTGAAAATTATAATTTATGCATGTCACAACAAAACCGGTGCATTCCTTAAATAATACATCGATATTCCCGGTACACCGCGACATACATTTGTACACATTTCACCAGCATTTCACCTTTCGTAGACCACCCATAACCTAACTTAGCGGACCTGGCGTGGACTTAGCGCCGCTGAGCAGTTGTCCGACACTAAACTGCGATTTATGCAAGTCTGCCCCTGGCAAATATCAACTGTTAACGGTTTAATCCAATTGAGAGCGTGAATGCCCCATAGTGACGTCACTTTGGTGACGTTTAAGCTCCCAATTGGATGAAATTGTCAAAAGCTGATTTCTGCCAGGGGCAGACTTGCATAATTCGCAGTATAGATAGGCCAAGTCGTGTCCTTACTTCGCCGATGCCCGGCAGGACACTCCAGACAGGAAATTGTCTCGTCTTTCCGCGCACTCCCTAAATGATTGGGTAACGCTTGCGACAACAGCACCCCCTTTTGAAAATGCAAGAAGTGAAAATAAAGCACAATAAAAAATGTAATTTTATGCGTGAAAATTAAAATTAATAATTTCAGTCTGGCAATGCTGACTGCAGCTAACAATAAGATTGGTGCAAGTTTTGAGTGAAGGATGGACGCAAAGGCGAAAAAATTTATGATCACAAGCCGCGCACACAAGGCGCAAGGGCAAGCGTTTACTGCGACTATTTACGGTAATTAAATTCTAGAATATACTGTATATCAGTTTTGAATATTTTCTACATAATCTTAGATTCAATAAAAAATGAAAAACATTTACATTTATTGGAACAATTTGCATCTAGTAACTTTAATTTATTTCTGTTTTTAAAACAAATGAATTAATATTTTAATGTTTTAGAATAAAACTAAAAAACAAATTATTTCAGCAAATGTTGAAAAACGTTAAAAAATTCCATTGTTATGTAACATTAAAACTAATACCCCCTACCCCTATGTAAACCTGTGTAACGCTGCTTCAAACCCCCTTAGCGTTAAGTAATTTATGTACGACCCCCAACACTAGTGGTGCTAAATCATCACGTACTTTCTCTCCCGTATTTTCAAGCAAAATTACACGAAAAGCACTCAAATTTTTGAAAAACTGTGCATTATCTCTTCTTAAGGAACATATTTCAGACTAGAATAATGCTATGCGACACTGTATTCGAGCCCTCTTGGCGACGCGCGTTATCGCCTAGCGGATGTCACGCGTTGAAAGCTAGAAAACGTACTTGACTTTTGACGTTTGACTTACGTTGTAGCTTATATGTCTTGCTTGAGCAGTGGGCACAACGCACGTAACCAAGAGCGCTCATGTGCCCTTCGCATAAGATATAGAATGATCTACGAACGCGCGTGGGTGGGTAGGCGTCAACACAGCTGACCAAGCACCACCAGCGTTAGGTGACACGCGTCAACACAACATAAGCCCTTTTGGCGTGACATAGGCCTAAATGAGGAAGGTTTACAAATTTTGGAACAATACAATTACCATTCCCTGTGAACTTCGAATTGAATACCTTTCAGAAAATGTAGTAATGTTTTATATTTGCCAAGATCTGTAAATGCATGTTTTTATTTACTTATTTATTTATTTTATCTCAAAAACTGTGTGACTTGCTACGGAGAGATGTGTTTTCTGTGCACATTTTCTTATATCTGTCTATTATATTTCTTATATTTCTGGGATCCCTATTCTAACCATTTACATGTTGAATTCTGAATGAAAAAAAGTGGAGGTGTTAAGAAATGATATAGAAATATTCCGTTCGATGTAATAAAATATATCTTCAAGGGCAAATCAGCAATAGATTTGAGCGATTATGCTTTGAGGGCACAATTTTGTTTTGAGTTCCAGTTCTTGTGATAAATTCTTAAGAGAATTCATGAAACAAGTAATATTGGAATTATGGAGTATGGAGTTAAAAATGCTGGGCTTAATAGTGTAAATTGTATTTTGAACAATCTAGTGTACATTTTGGGTAGTTTTTCATATTTTTTCTGTGGCTTTTGAATTTTTGAGAATATTAGTCCATAGGGACATGTGTTACAAGCTTCTCTTTGTATAGCTCTGATTTTTCAACAGGCTGGAACAATTATTTTTCTGTAACCTTTAATTTTTAGTATGGTTTCATATTTCTCTGAAGCTTCTGAGTTTTTGTGTATATTTGCCCATAAGAATGGTATGTTGCATGTTTCTCATTGTATAGCCCTGATTTATAAAGAATATGGGTAGGAACAATGTTTTTCTGTAGGGTAGGGTAGGGCTGCAAATGTTACAGACTGTGGACATCTGATGGACAAAGCTCATCCCTCCAGGAAAGTCTCAAGATCATTATCTACACACTGCCATTTTTTGTAAGTGAAGCAGACAAAGTTTTAAGTCCATTGTTTTACCAGCAAGTTTGGATGTACATAGTTGTATATTTAATTTACAATAAAGAGTTGTGTGTGGAAAAGCATAAAGCTCCCTTTTACTGCCTGAGCTCCTGCCTCCTGCGAATACAACAATCTGATATTATCTTCCACTTCACAATCTGGCAAAAATTAATGATCCTGGGTACTTTTGCAGACCCAATACACAATTACAAATCAATCATATACATTATTGTGTAACTGAGACTCACAATATTTCTTGGTATATTTTTTAAAGAATATTATGGACAATGAGGTGGAGGAAGATTATGGAAAAAATTGGGTAGCATAATAGTATCTTAGGGAATAATAATCGGGTCAACAGAAAACAATCAAAACAGGTGTAATTCCCTGCTGTTTATAATTTTTAGTGTGAATACATTCTCTTTTATTTTACATACAATTACATTCTATAACACACTTACTGAAATTTCACTTCAGTAAATGAGTCAAAATATCTCTCATGTCAAAGTACACATAATGTACAACATTTGTAACAAAGCAAATTACAGAGTGGCAGTGTAATTTATGAGCGCAGAAAGTCTTTAATTATCTTAAGGAATGAAATAATTTACAACATACAACTATCATTAAGTCTAAGTGATAATGATTATAAAAATGCATAGTGTATGTATCATTAGAAAATAAATAAATGCACAGGAGTTCTTTTCATGCCTTAGTTGCTTGTATGAATAAATAAAAGATTTTAAAAATAAAAATGAAATATAAGCAACTTTATTTATAATTACAAGAGTTGATAAAGAAAACTTTATAAAGGATATTTGTCTAACTGCTAGTTGTATAGAAAAAGAGAATTTATTTTATTCTCAAAACAAAATAATGAAACAAGAATAGCATTCATTGCGATAACATATATGCATTTATACAATCATTTTAGTATATACACAAACCACACATTCTCTTTTCAAAAATGTCCATTTAAGTTTACTGCAACATACTGAATGTCTGATGAATAATGGTTTGAAACAATGGTATGACAAAAACAAACATCTCTTTCAATCACACAGCATACAATACCTACATTCATAAAATAATTTTCAAATATTATTTCTTATTTGCTCTTTAATTGCATCACAACTGTTGGATGTGGTACAATGCTACTTCCAATACAGAACGATTTGAAAATTCAATATATACATCACCATGACTTTCTGAGAATCTGAAAATGTTATACAAATAATTTTCTTTGTAAAGTTTTTTAATATTTCCATGTAAAAATTCCACAAATAGTTCACCAAAAGTCAGTTTCCATAGCAAATAAACTTAAAAGATTTCTGCTTTTTTTTTCATTTTTAAATGAAAATTGCAGTACTCATGAACACTTAAAGTCCTCTTTGCACAAGAGTGTTTTAGATTTGACTAGTTTCATTTCCTCCTGTTTGACTGTCTACTGTGAAAACCAGATTCAAGATGAGGTCCATATGATGGAAGTTGTCCAGCTTGAGTGCAAGATTTACAACAGAATCGAGCATAGTACTTGTGTGTACAATATTTAGCAGCTACAATTAACTTGCAGTTGGCAAAGAAAGGATTATCTGTACAGTTGGGATGGATGTATACTCCTGGGTGAAAAAGGAAAGATTTAAAAATAATGAATTATAACAATCCCTTAAAAGAGTAAATAAGTGTGAACAACAATATTTTTCTTTTCCAAATATCTTCCCTCTCACTCACTCCAGATTTTTTTTATTCCCTTCAATGAAAAGAAAAAACATTTACCTTCTACTATGATGGATATAGAACTAGATGATGATCCATACTCATTGGCTGCTTCACAACGATATAACCCTGCATCATTCTTACTGGCTTGTGAAATAATGAGTCGATGACTCTCTGGAAAAGTAAGTGTTTTTTGATTTGCTATATGAAAGTACAGAATGAAATTAAATTGAGTATTCTTTAGAAATGTTAAGCAAACAATTAAAGTCTGTTATCTCTTAAGCTGCATTATAATGTTACAGGGTTGGTTGGTTTTGTGTATTTGTATTTTGGAAATGAAGAAGAAGATCTTTTTAAAATTAAGATGTGATTCTTAAGTTAGCAGAGCTACTACTGCACATATTTTCTACTTTTTTTTAACTTTTGCAAAATTTTGGAAATTCAGAGAGATAGCTAAAAATGAGACCTGTATCCTCCTTTTAAGCATCCCTTGTTCTATCCACGGAAATAATATAAAGGGAAAATTTGAGCATTTTTTTGAGAAAAAAATTTTTTTTTTTTGCAATAACTTCAAGCAGAAATTACTTGCTTTTTCAAAAAATAATTTTCATGATCTTTTTTAAAGATCTGATTTTTTTAGAATAGATTTCATTACAGACAATATCTATCTTGAATAATGTACTTTTGCAACATTAACTTTTTGCAAGTTTTGAAAATACAGTTTTCTAGAAATGGAATTAGCACCATATTTTTTATTGTCATTTAATACACACAAGGAGAAATTTTAAGGAAAAAAATTGAAGCTTTTTTTGAGTAAATAATTGTATAAAAGTCCTCTACATTTCATGCATCATAACGTGAAAACTACAATTTTTGAAAAAATGTACATGGCATTATTTCAAGAATAATTTTTGAAGAACAGGTTTCATTAAGGAAAGAAATCTTTTTTTTTTCAATATCATAATTTTAGGAAGATGCTGAAAAAAATTATGTACATTTGCAAGGCATATAATATATACACAATGTGTTAGAAGTAATTTACTACCTATAAGAACAAGATTTATTGACTTTTGCTTTACCAGGGCCTGGCAATAAGAGTTTTTTTGTCAAAAAATCGCTGTTTTCTGGCACACAATTACAATTCTTTCTCTTCTTACGAAGTAAAAGAAGAAAGTAAAAAAATAAACAACAATGCATCAACACTTTTCTTCTTCTTTGAACTCTACAACAATTACTGTGAAGAATATATTAAAATAGTGAAATATATCTTTTATGAATTTTTTTTTCCTTGACCTTGCTTCTTTTCACACTTAATACTTCACAATTAATGTTCACACTTAAATTTCACATATTAATTTGACAATTCCAAATTATTTTTAGGTATTCATTTATTCTACAAGAACCAAGTCTTATTTTTATTATTTTAGCTATTTTATTACTCTGGTTTTAATGTCAGAACTACTACACGGTTATATAAGTACCTATCTAAAAATCATGCTATGTATTATATAACTATTCAATTTCAATAATTTTTTAGGTTTCACACAATGTTTTTAGTATTTTTAATTTAAGAAAAACTACATTTACTAAAATTAGTGTTTAGTTAGGTTTTAAAAATATATTAAACCAAAACAACTTGGTTTGTATAAAAACTATCTTTAAAAAAATGTTTAACCCCAACCCTTTATTTTCACCTAAAAGCTTTTTAACTTAACATTATTTTAACAACAAAACTATTTTAACAAAACCTAATTTTTTAAACCAAAAACCTTCTTTTAAACCATGAACTTTATTTTGAACAAAAGAAATTTCATTTACAGCAAATGCTGGTTTAAATATAAAAATCACATTTACCTCTTAACACTTTTTTAAACATAAACAAATCAAAAATTTATAAAGTTTTCATTAGTAATTAATAATTTAGTTATTTCACTAAATTTAAAATAAAAAAGTAACACACAAAAACAGAAAAACATTTGTAGACAGACTACATCAATTTTTTTTCTTCTCCAAACTTATTTAAAACATTTGCAACATCATCACCACCAATGGGACACACGTAGTAATCCTAAGAAATGTGCACCTTCACTGGTGGGCTATTGCATTGCATCTGAAATTCTTTATCTGTTTTGTTGGAAATCTGTATTTTAATTGTGGCTACATGGACAGTGCATCTATGGACAAACATGCTTTTGTGGTCATATAATAGAACCAAAAATTGCCCTTGCAAAAACAAAATATTCCAACATGACATGACATGTTTATTCAAAGAACTTTGAACACAGATTGTTTGTAGTTCTTAAAGGGTTCAGAAAAATACACATTATTTATTTGTTGTTTTCTGTATATAAAACTTCAAATTTATGGGAGAATCAAAGGTAAGCTTGCTTTATTACTAAAAGACATTTTAAGGAAAAATTTATTTTTTTTTCCTGAAGACAAACAGAAACTTCAAATGGAATTGCATTTTATCAAGAAAATTAATTCTTCTCTGAATAATTAACTCTTATTACCTTCCTACTACTATTCACTTTATTGTTCATTAAGTTTTAAATATCTATTTAACTTCATCATTTTAATTTACATACCTGTTATTTGTATCTTTTCGTTAGCTTCTAAAAGAAGATCATCTTTAAACCACTGAACTTGCGGTAGTGGAAAGCCACTTACATCACATGGTATTGATATATCACTACCAACAGGGTAAATGGTTCTTGACAGAGTTATATTTGCTTCAACAGGAACTGGAATTACATAAATATGCTTAATTATTGACACTTCACAATTAGGGTGTTGAATTTTATTTTTTTCTACAACATTTTTAAGTAAACTTTAATTTTATATTTTATAATCTTACCTACGTAAACTCTTGGAGGTTCTGTTACAGGAGGAGGTTCGGGTTGCCTAGGTGGATAAATTGGTCTGTGGGGTGCAGGTGTTTGTGGTGTTCGTGGAACATGTGGAGATATCAAATATCTGGTATAGGCAGAGTCTGATGGATCAATTGTATAAACTGGACCAACAGCTTTGACTGTCACAGTCCAGGAAGCAGCTCTTCCAAGACCATTGTAAGCTTGGCAAGTAAAAGGTCCAAGATTTCTTAGTGTCACAGATCGTATCGATAAGGAAAAGTCACGTCCTTGTTCATAAACTTGAGAACTCAGGGGTAGCATGCGGTCTCCACGCCACCATGTAATTGAAGGTCGTGGATAACCCACGGCATGACAGTAAAGAATTGTAGGTACTCCCAGAGATGTTATAATTATTTTGTTTTCCTCACCAATTATTTCAGCAGGATGATTTGTAGGATCTAAAAGGAATTGTTAGTAATATTCCATCATGCATGATAATGTATTAGTAAACAGACTATATACAATTTATCAGTTAATTTTTATAATATATTAATGCTCATAGATGTAAAATTTGCTTCCTAAATATGTCTTATGTTTCTGTTCACTTATAAGTGCTCAAAAGAGATTAAGAATGTTAATATTCCTGATTTATGCATATTAAACAGATGTGATTGAGAAATTATATAAACAAATGTATCATGCATTATTTCAGCATTTACCACAATTACTTCAAAATAAAAGAATTTCAACAAATGACTGACATCTATAGACGTGTTATATGGCTATTTTATCGCACAATGAAGACTAAGGGTTTGTTCATTCTAACGTATTTTCTGCTAATTTTAAATCATGATTGTTCAAAGATTTTTTTTTTTTTTAAATTGTTAACTGTTGAAATTTGTTTAACTCTTTTAAAGCAATACATACATTTGAGTAGTGCTTGATTTACACTTACAAATTCATCTGTGACCATTAATACATCATGAAATGATAATATACTGAAATATAATACTCACAAAGAAAATCAATAAATACATTAGAAGTGGTTAATTCTATCAAATACTCAGGAGAAAAGACAATAATATGAACAGTGAAAGAACTTCTATTATTTTTAGTGCTTTGTATCATTCAGTGTATTTTGCATGCATCGTGCACCCCCAATAGATGCATTAGTTTGACCTCCATCACACAACTAACTAGTGCATTTCAAACAGAAGATTGAAAAATGTATTGAGTGGGAATTTGTTTATTAATGGTATTAATTAAAAGCACATTATTGTTAAGTGTTTGATTGAAGTAACAGTTTGATAAATGTACAATTTGTTATATTTTGAAATAAAATTTAGTGGTATAGGAAACAAGTTGGCATGTTTAATTTTACCCAAATCCATGCAGAAAATACAAAAATTATAAGTGTATGTAAGAATACAAATTTTCATTCTGACTGAAAATAACATGGAGAACTCCCAGTTTATTAAGAATAAATTTATGATGTTGAGGGAAACAGTTGCTTTGAAGAATAGTTATTATTGCATATTCCAAAGGTAACTCGCTATATAATGAAAAATAAACCATTGAAATTCTAAACAGTTCAAATAATTAATCTATTGGTTTGTAAATAATCTAAAAATACCTGTCACTTCCAAAACAACATCCTTTCGAGCTGGATCTCCAACGCCATTATCTGCTGTACAAGTGTAAGTACCAGCATCTTGTTTGAAAAGATTAATGATTTGCAATGAACCATCATCTAATAATTTGTGCCTACTTCCAGAGCTGTCAATCTGCAAGATATATGAAGAACTTTATTTGTATCGTGAGAGGTCTTAAAATTAATACTTAAAATAGGTTATTATGTTTTACAAAATAAAAAAACCTGCAATGAGAAATTTCTAACAAGAAATGAAACAAAACACAACCAAGAACAAATAATAGACATTATGTTTATTGAATCTTTAATTAAACGAAACTGTCTGCCTTTTGGCACAACAACCTCTGACGAAGTCTGGGCCTACCGGTGGTGTCCCAGGCCTTGCGGCCATGGGTTACTGGTTACGTGTGCTTATCACATATGCATTCCTACTCTGTATTTTGGTCTTCTCAACCCTGTTAAGTGAGTTTTCTCCTTGTCACACAGCAACATATACTGGGACATTGCACAGAAAATGTATACACTCTAATCTTGCCTGACCGAGAGTTGAACCTGAGGGTTGCATCATGGAAAGCAAGTGTGCTGACCATGAGTTATTTGTGAGAGTGCATAAATCAGAAAAAAGAAAAAAA